TGATAATTCTTGAGTCTTCTGAAACTATACCCATTTCTAAAGAGTATTATTATTAGATATCAAATGTAAAAAAAAAATCCAAAATTTGGTTATACAAAGTTAATTCTTCATTTTGTATAACCCACCAACTTATATATTATATATATATAGCAAATTATTTTAAAAATAAGAATCAAGTTCAAAAAAAATTCTATAGAAAATTCTACTTTACCAAGGTTAAAGTCACTTATTACTGATTTATTACATGATCAAGTATGACTTTAACTTAGTATTAGTATCAAAAGTGTTATTTTTAAACAGTCGATGATTGGATTTTTTTTTTAATATTAATCAAGTTTTTATGTAATTTCAAAACATCAGGTTATGCAAAACGAAAATCAACTTTGTGTTGCTTTAGAGAAAAATAATTACCTTCTTCAAAAACATTTTCAGGATATAAGTCTTCAGTTATATATCATCCTGTGAGAAGAGGTTAAAGATGTTGATCTGTAAAAATATATCTTAAGCCATTTCCAACATTACTTTTATTAAATCTATAATCAGTTCTACCATTTATTAAATAGTGAACAGCTTGCAAGACGTTAGTACGGCATATTAGATCAAATTCAATATTCTTCTAGTTAGTTTTGAGAGCGGCTTGTTTAGAAAGTCTATGTACCATTTCTTTAATGGCACAGTTTGTATTAACTAAAGTTGCATAGTTTTTGCAATTTTGTACTAAATGAAAATCAACATGGAGGTTTGGTAAGTTTTCAAAATTGTTAGGAAATAGCTACAGAATTATAAAAAAAACATTAGAAAATATTTTAAAAAGCCTTCAAAATGGCCTGACCTCTAAGGTATTGCACTTAAGAGGTAAAAATTCTATAAGCATTATATTTGTTGGGCCTATGTGACGATATGTATTTAAAGTCATAGGCATATATTTAGGTGGATAAATATTATACAATAAAATGTAACAATACCTTTAATAACATGCTATGTTCTTCTACAAGTAGATGTTGAAGATGGTTTAAATCATCTTTGGTTAGCTTTATTTTAAAACAATATACCGTGCCATCTGCTATAGTTACCCAGCATGAGATGATATCATTAATAACTTGCTTGGTAGATCGTCTTCAATCAGTAGATGACAAGCGGTCACATAAAGCTATAAGGTCATTTGAAGTTGCTAGAAAACGTCTCAAAATAAATGGCATTATTATAGATAACTGTAATACGTCTGTAAACATAAAACTTTTAAAATGAGTTATGAGATTAGGCAAATGATACCAATTTGAAGGCTTTTCAAAATGTTTCCAATATTTTAAAAATTGATTTTTTTCATTTTTATTTAACAAGTTAAAAGTATATTCTAACAATCTTTGAATCTTTCTAGCAACTGCATGGTAGGCATCATGAGGAGTTTGTAAATGATGGTCTCAAGATAAAGTTGATAAAATGCCTGGTTTTGATTGGAGGCCATGACGTTTTGTAAACTCTTTAATTTCTAACTTAGACACATTTTGGCTTATTAGTGTTTGTAATTCAATAAAAAGTTCTTGTGTAATATGATGAAACCGTGCACTATGTATTCTATCAAAGGTAGTATCAGTTAACTGATCCTTTGGAACAAGACAGTTTTGATATCCATATAGGGCATCTTGTTTCTTAACATCGCTGAGTTCGTTTCTCTAAAATAAAAATATGTATAGCTTGATTTGATTAATCTTAATTTATATACAGTAAAATATGGTTTGAAATATTAACTAAACTGAACTTATTACTACTTGCGGTAAATCAGCTATTACTAGCCCAATTGAAGCAATAACCC